CAGACATTTGCTCAAAAATTAACACATTAAGCCTGGAAAATAACTGACAGCATTTCTTGCTAATGATTAAGCTTGACTTTTCAAGCAAGAATTGGGAATTTGGCAAAGTTCTATCTACCATCTTGAGTTTGACAGCACCTCAATACTTAACTTCTGAAGAGACTGGTGGTGATTTAAACAAATGTGGTTTTTGGTATCATATAATGAAATACGTAAATATTTAGATGTACATAACTCAATGCACTTCTATTTTCCAAATGACCAAAGCATGTTACAAATTATACATGATAGAAGATCCATCCAAAATGCAGGACAGACCAATGAACTCTAATATACCAGAATAAGAAAAATCTATTGATATTGTTTCAGATTCCGTATCGCAAAAAACCTTTAGAAACACTTGTTGAAATCCTCTGTACTATCAAAGAAGATTATTGTACAACAATATGAAAACGCTATTAAAATAGTTTTCCCTTTTCCAATTCCATATCTGAGTGAAAAAGGATTTTTTTCTATTTCAACCAAGACATTTTATACCAGATTGAATTCAGAAACATAAGAGAATATACCTGTTTTAATTAAGCCAGACATTTAAATGAAATGTGCTAAATTATTAAACAATGCTATTCCTTTCCTACTTAAACTTGTTCTAAAAGAGTTATTTTTCCTTTAAAGAACATTATTTACATTAACATATAATGGGTTCATTATTGTTCATTCTAAATGAGCTGATAAACACTTTAAAAACTTTCTCAGTCTTAATTTAAAAACTGAGGAAAATTTACAAATATATCAATATATATATAATCCATATAAAGTTCTTCAGAGTCCTCAATAATTTTTAAGTATAATGGGGTTCTGAGAACAAGAAGTTTGAGAAATGCTGTCACAGCAAAAATAAAAGTCAAAAATTGATTCCTTGAAAAGACAAAAAAAGATAAACAACTGGCAAGAATATCAAAACATTTTAAAAGAGAAGGCACAAATAAACTATGTTAAAAAATAAAAAAGAAAATATCACCATAGATGCTGAGGACATTAGAAAGACAAGATTATTTCATGAACTTTACGGCAATAAATTTGAAAATTTAGTAAATGCTAAAAAGCACAATTTACCAAAATAGGCAACTCACAAAATATATGTTTTAAATTGTCCAAAGACCAATAAAGAAATTGAGTTAGTAAACAAAAGCCTTCCCACAAAGAAAACTCCAGACTCACATGGCTTTTCTAAAGAAGTACACCAATCATTTAAGAACAATAGCTCTATCATACAAATTATTCCAGATAAGAAAAAGTAGGAACATTCTCCAATTCATTTTATAAAACCAAAATAACCTCAAAATAAAACCCTGACAAATGCATTATAAAAAAGGAAAATTAAAGGTCAATTACACTCAAGAACAAAGACATAAAAATTGTGATCAAAATTTTAACAAACTGAATACATCAATTTTTTAAAGACCATGACCAAACCAAACCAAACCAAACCAAAGATCATGACCAAGTGGGCCATGAAAAAGGTTAATTACAAGAATGCAAGACTGATTGCACATTAAAAAGTAAATCAATGTAATTCGCCACATTAACAGATTAAAAGAAAAATTATGATCATTTCATTAAATGCAATATAAGTATTTAATAAAATTTAACATCCATTCAAGATAAAAACTCTTACTTAGCACAACAGAAACAGAAGGGAACTTCCTTAATCTGATAAAAGGCATCTACAAAAAACTCCAGCAAACATCATACTTATTAATGGTCAAAGAGTGAAAGCTTTCCCTTTGTGATCAGGAACAAGATAAAGTTGTCCTCTATCACCACTTCTATTCGGGAATGTAGTGGAGGTCCTAGCCAGAAAAGTAAGGCAAGAGAAAGAAATAAAAGATGTAAGGATTGGCAAGAAAGAAACAAAACTCATTATTCACAAATATGTTCGTGAATACAGAAAATAGAAGGTATCTACAGAAAAATTGTTAGAAATAAGAGTTGAACAAGACTGTGAAACTCAGTATCAATTGCGCATTTCCATGTAAATAGCAAATGCAGTTAGAAAATAAAACTTAAAAAATAAAGACTCTTAAAATAGCCTCAAAAAATATGAAGTGCCTAACAATGAGTCCATTGGGAGATGTGCAAATCCTCTGCAGGGAAAATCATAAAACTTCATTGAAAGATATTTACAGGATTAAAAAAATGAAAATATATGCAATGATCATGATTTGACGGACTCAATATTGTGAAGATATAAATTCTCCCCAAATTAATTTAGAGTCAAGAGAATCTCAATGAAAATCACAACAGGATTGTGTTGGGCATGCTGGTTTTTAAGCATATATGGAAATGCAAAGGACCAAATAGCCAAGATATTCTTGAAAAACATTAAGTAGTTAAGAACTTCTCTAACATACATCAAGATTTAGAAGACTATAACAAGTGTGACAAGATAGTGGAATTTATAAAAACAGACCAATGGGACAGAATAGAGATTAGACAGAGAACCACACATATGGGTAGCCTGACAAAATAGAGAAGAGTCATTGTTTTGTTTTTCCAATAGATAATGCTGGGACAGAAATCTACCCGTACGTAAACAAATGAAATTGAACCCACTTCTCACACCATTCACAAAAACAAATTCCACCTAGCTAGTAATCAAGTTCATAGTAATAATCACATGAATTATTTCAGATTCAAAAAGAAATGTATTGATTATATATTCCCAGTGGGATATACCCTAAAGACAAACATCATCTTATTAGTGGCAATCTTGGTATTGTTAAACTGAAATTACTTTATACATGTATAAAGCAAATAAATAACCATGATAATGCCATTAAGGTACCAAGATTCTTAGAATAAGACACAAGAAATAATATATAAAATCAAAGCTAATTCCTGAAGGGAAATATCAATAATTCAGCGTTATTTCTTTTTCTAAAAAACATGTTTACTAGTTCTATTCACCAAAAATACCAAAAAAACAAAGAAAACCCAGTAATAACGAATGCCCCAAACATCCAAATTGGGGTCTCTAGGTATCAATTCCCAGTGAAAAAAGTGCTGCTTGAAAAAATAGCTGAGGCAGAATAGTTCCAGGGCAGAAAATATAGTCACAGCTCTCTCAAATCCTAAAAGAATAGAAGCTGTACAATAATACTTGAATCATGTCAGATGGACACAGCAGCCAAATGAAGAGCCTCTCACTGACCAAAGAGGAGACAACCTGAAGTATCAAAAAGAATGATGCAATGGACTTACACACATTAAAAATATAAAAACATGAATGTTTAGATGACAATAAAAAAAATATCACTGGTCAGATTGCTAGGGGCCAGCTTGTCATTTTGAAAACTGATTAAGAGGATAGAAACCAATCTTTAATAATGATTCTCTTATGGGGACTCTCTATCTCAGAATAACCAAATACTTGAGGAAAGAAGTTTTTCTTTTTTAAAAGAAGTACAGCTAATAAATGCAGGAGGAACTGTAAAATTAGAAATTCATCATGATCTCAATGTGAAATAATAGATCTGATCAACAAGCATTAATGACTGCTAAAACCATTAAGTCAAAGGTTGATGGGGAACTTTATAATACATTCATCAGGCCAGTATCAACTGCACCCATGGATCCATCTTTTTTTTTTTTTTTTTAAATAGACTTCACGCCCCAATCTGGTGCTTGAACTCACGTCCCTGGGATCAAGAGTCACAAGTTCTACCGACTGAGCCAGCCAGACGTTCTATCCCATCTTAACATTACTAAAAATGGAACAACAGAGGTCCCATCCCATCTTAACATTACTAAAAATGGAACAACCAAAATGTTCCTCCTGATGTGATACAACAGACAAGTGCAGTTCAACTCAAGGCTTAAATTCATGACCATGAGATCAATATCTGAACTGAGATCAAGAGTCAGACGTTTAATTGACTGAGCCACCCAGGTGCCCCTCAATGAAATATTCCTAACACAAAACACAAAACCTAACCCTAATCAAGCCTCTCTACCTAATTACCAGTTTATAGGAAATAAGAGATGAAATGGAAGAACACATTAAAGGACCATGAGGATACAATTAGCCAAATCTAGAATGTGAGAAACTATAAATATGACCCAGTTTCTTCAACAAATAAACAGAGAATAAAAAAGATAAACTGATATAGATTAAAAGAAACTTAAGACATGTATCAACCAATGCAACATGTGGATCTTGTCTGGATTCTGCAGCAAACAATCGTTTAAACATTTGGGTGTGGGCAGCCCTGGTGGCCCAACAGTTTAGTGCTGCCTTCAGCCCGGGGTATGATCCTGGGGGCCTGGGATCAAGTCCCACATCAGGCTCCCTGCATGGAGCCTGCTTTTCCCTTTGCCTGTTATCTCTGTCTCTCTGTCTCTGACTCTCTGTCTCTCTCTCTGTGTCTCTCATGAATAAAGTAAAATAAAATAAAATAAAATTAAATTAAAATAAAATAAAATAAAATAAAATAAAATAAATAAACATTTGGGTGCTTTTAAGATAATCAATGAAAACTGAAGATAGCCTGGGTATGATAAAAGGTTAAGAAATTCTGGTTAATCTCTTGGGTGGAATAATGCTTCTTCTCTGCTAGAGATGCATACTGAAGTATTTGCCAAGGAAAGTATATGATGCCTGGGCTTTGCTTTGAAATACTATAGACTTACTCATAAATTATATCTGCAATTATAGATGAAAATAATTAAATAAGTAGGTAGGCAGGTGGGTGGGTATGTGGGTAAATGGATGGATGGATATAACTTCTTCAGGGAGGGAATCAATTCTAGGTGAATAAACTCAAATTCAACATGAAGGCAAAACAATGAAGCTTTTAGGTCATATAGAAGAATACCCTTATGTTCGCAAAGGGCAGAATTTACTAAACAAAACTTAAAAATCACTAAACAAAAATGTGTTATTCTGTACATAAGTCTAAAAGATTTTGTCTACTTTATACTATTTTAAAGGTACTTACTGCTGGTAAAAGAGACTGCATATTTTGATTAGAATCTGCTATTGTAGCAAGGTAGACCAAGTTCGTATGCAACATCTGCTGATACCTATTAAAACAAAACAAATATCAATATTTAAAAATAATTTTCTTCCTATCTGCTTCAATACAAATTAGCATTCTAATTATTTCCCAAGTTTAATAAAAGATGTATGTTACCTGAACATCAATAGCACTTCAATTTTTTCCTAGTTCCTCTGCAAAATAATTCCAAATAATAAATACATTCAAAGATAATAATACACACAAAGAGTTTACCATGTGCTAGATATTGTTACAGTTGTTTTATATACTCATATGTTTCAGTCAATTCTCAAACCCACACTGAGGTAAAAGTTCTTACTTTCTTCATTTTACAGATGAGACAAGTGAGGTTTTGAAAAGTTAGTAACATGTACAATATTTGCGCAGCTCAGGAAATGGAATTACTGAGTTATGTACCAGCTCTATACACTGCACATATGCTTTCCAAAAAGAGACCAAGAATGAAGGAATTCAACAAAACTGACATGCTACTCCTCTTCCCCCCCTGCCAATTTCATATTGCCAAAACCCTCAAACCCAAGTCAAGGGAAAAAGCTCTACAGAAAATGTCAAGAAGGAGGCAGACATCACATAAACTTTTTCTTTCTCTGGCAGCAGTGACCAACAATTTATGCCTGCTACAGGTATGCTGCCCATCTGTTAGGGCTCAGCATTAAAGAAGATAATTGACATGTTTACTTACAAATAATATATATATACACATATATATGTAATATGAGACAAAATAACTGGACACTAATACCATTAAGAATTAACTTTATAAAACAAAGCAAATTCTCACCCACAAAGTGGTTAAACATGCTCATTGTAATCTTATGAATTAGTTTTGCTAACTCTGCAAATTGGTAGTGATTCAGTTACTAATGTTTGTAAACCCTCCAAATAAAAACTTACAAATCCTATACTAAATTGTTAGGCTGTTTTAGAATTTTGTTTACCTAGGAACTTATATACAAATTAAAATAATGAAAATAAGATAAAAGAACTTTATTCAGCTAAATAAAGCCTTCTAAAACAGATCTCAGGGATGCCTGGGTGGCTCAGTAGTTGAGCGTCTGTCTGCCTTTGGCTCAGGATGTGATCCCAGAGTCCCAGGACTGAGTCCCAAATTGGGCTTTCTGCATGGAGCCTGCTTCTCCCTCTGCCTATGTCTCTGCCTTTCTCCCTCTCTGTGTCTTTCATGAATAAATAAATAAAATCTTTAAATAATAATACAGATCACATATAAAATCATTATCTATACATCACATAAGGAATCCTAGGAAATCTTTTGCAGCATTATTTTTTTCTATTAGAACTGGTTTCACTACTTTTCTCTTATTAGAGGAAAAACAACTTCTCACTGACCCTTGATTTTCCTAACAAGTTTATGCTCATTTTCTATTTTTTACAGATTTATTGAGGTATAACCAATATAAAAAAGAACGACACATATTTAACTTGTCCAATTTGATGAGTTTGGACATATGCAAACACCTGTGACACCATCACTCTAATCAAGGTAACAGACATAACCAACACTTCCCAAAGTGTTTGTTTCCTTTTATGACTTTGTTGTTAAAAAACAAGTTTAGAATCTTAATGTTCCTCCTCACATATTACACTATGTTGCTCAATTAGACATGATATAATGTTTGTTACAGTGATCCTCAGACAAAAGAGGAACAGGAGTTATTGTATTGTACTGAATTATTCATAATGGTTAATTATGTTGTCAAAATTCTTAAAACAGCACTAACAGGCACCACTAGCTGGAACCATTTCATTACTTTGTGAAGATCCTGAATGGAATTTAAGGCATAGGGTTCCAAAATCTTGCCATTTTTTAAAACTATTCAGCCATTTTTAATTAGAACATAAAATCCACTTCAAAGTCTACTCCTTGAAGTGTCTTTTCTGAGAATATGGCTTTAAAGTATTCAGATATGAAATTTGCTGACCACCCTGCAAAAATAAAAATAACAAACCTTACTAAGAGACTATGGCTTCCTCATGACCCTTTAAGAAAAAATTTTAGTCATGCTGATTAGTACTTAACAAGTCCATCTTAAAATACTGTTAAATCTAATCTGCCATGCTCCTAAGGCCTCCTTTGTAAAATAATGGGAGTTAAAAATAGATCTCCAAAGTCCCTTGTAGTTCTAAGTATCTATAAATACAGCATCTTTTATGGAGTACTTCAGTTTTAGGACATTTCCCCAAACTAAACCTTTTAACTTTTATTTTTGAAATAATCTTAAACTTACAGTTTTAAGAACAGTATAAAGAATTCCCAAATATCTTTCCCTCACCCTCCCCAATCCTTGGCATTTCACATTTTTAAAAAACATTTTATTTATTTATTCCAGAGAGAGAGGCAGAGACACAGGCAGAGGGAGAAGCAGGCTCCACGCAGAGAGTCCGATGCAGGACTCGATCCCTGGTCCCCAGGATCACGCCCTGGGCTGAAGGCTGCGCTAACCTGCTGAGCCACCCAGGGATCCCCGGCATTTCACATTTGTCTTACTCCATTTGTAAACATACACACCAATATGTACACACATGCAAGCACACACACACATACTCAGAACAGCTTTTTTTTAAAAACCTTTTGAGAGTCATTACAGACATATTACTCCACTACTTCAGTGTTGATTTCCCAAAAACAAGGAAATTCCCATATGCAACCACTGTACAAAAAATTAAGATCAATACAGTAATATATAATCCAAAAACCCATTCAAATTACTCCAATTGCACCAAGAGCCCCGAATATTTTACCTAACATAAAGGTATCTTATCTAACTTCAGGTTTTCTTTCTTGTAAACTGCATTATTTCTACAGCATTCATCAAAATAAGTTTTTTCTAAGATCATTTAAGACTCAAAGATGAAAGTTATTGAAAAAGTAGTATATACTCATATTCTTTTACAAGTTTGTGGAACTTGTAAACTTACCAGTGAAAAATCTTTAGATGGTGAGATACAGTGTTTGTTATGTAATTTTTATGTTACCTGTGTCTTTAAATTTTCTATAATTCATATAATACTTTCATAAAAAATAGTTATTTTACATTAAATAACTGTTCCAAGCAAAGTTATCACATCTTAAGGAATTGTTTAATTAAAATTGAACTATCAGTTCCTAGATGCCTGTTCTTTACCGTTCCTCTTCATTTTCCTTTGCTTTCTCCTAATGCAAGAAATGAGAACATTTAAGGTTGAGAGGAGGAATTTTTTTCTCTTTACTCACAAACCAACACTAACAACTTGATAAAGAAAGAGTATCTAAAGAACTCTAAAAATGAAATCAAATCCATCAGGAAGAGCAAAATATAAGACTATATCTAAATCAATGTAAGCCCCATCTGCACCAAATATGTGAGAAAATGAGGTCTATTCCAATATGCAGAAGGAAGAAATGATCATATATACACAAAAAAAACTAAGAATATAAAGAATAAAGCAATACAAACTTCTTCTGACTCAAGTTGGAAAGGCTCATTCTAGATCTGAACACTTTCTATCCAAGCCATGCACTGCTGGGTCCTTTAAGAAACTGAACCAGTCCTATGCCACAAAATCCTCTGACAGCTGAAAAAGCCACAGGTGAAAATAAGTATCCTAATCAGAGCCTGTCGACTTTTATCATCCCATGGCCAATTCGAGGCAGTGATCTCCTTACCACTGATGATTATCCATAGTTAAACTAAGGAATAGATCAGCTAATTAATTAATTTTTAGAGAATATTTTGAAATATAAACAGACATGACTACTGAAGAAACAATACACATAAAAGTAATGGAAATTGTCACGTAAGATGCAAAATGTACAAGTGACTAGAAAATAAAATACTCAGACCTAAGTTTCTAAATATCATTCTCTAAAAAGAACCAGGGCTTGAAGAAATAGGCAATTCCAAAATGGGACAGGAAAAAGAACAAGATAAGCCTAGAACATTTTGTAGTGCAAGAACATTTTTTAAAAATGCTCAAAAAAGGGATCCCTGGGTGGCGCAGCGGTTTGGCGCCTGCCTTTGGCCCAGGGCGTGATCCTGGAGACCCGGGATCGAATCCCACATCGGGCTTCCGGTGCATGGAGCCTGCTTCTTCCTCTGCCTGTGTCTCTGCCTCTCTCTCTCTCTCTCTGTGACTATCATAAATTAAAAAAAAAAAAAAATTATAAAAAAAAATGCTCAAAAAATACTGAATACAAATCAAAAAGCCAGCTTGAGGGGATCCAGTGGCCAACATTAGGGACAACTTAAAAAGAAAATAGGATAACATTATAACTTAAAGAATTATAGTAAGAATCCATAAATCCATTCAGATATAAATAAATGAATGAGTAAATGGGGGCAAAGAATGAGAAATGTTTTCCTTAAAGTAGGATTTCAAATAAATGTAGAAGGAATGACTGATTTAGTCACCATTTGGCAACCACCATAGTAATAACAGTTTCAATCAAGGATCATTGGATGGTGAATACTTAAATAAATGCTTAAAAAAAAAAGTACAAGAGGGGCAGCCAGGGTGGCTCAGCGGTTTAGCGCCGCCTTCAGCCCAGGGATCCTGGAGACCTGGGGATCCTGGAGACCTGGGATGGAGTCCCACGTCAGGCTTCCTGTGTGGAGCCTGCTTCTCCCTCTGCCTCTCTCTGCCTCTCTCTCTCTCTCTCTGTGTCTCTCATGAATAAATAAAATCTTTTAAAAATAATAAAAATTGAAATTAAAAAATAATTTTTTTAAAGTACAAGAAGAAACATTATGTATATATGTCTCAAGGTATTTGCCCAAGAAGATACATATGAATTAAAAAGAGAAAAATAATAACTTTACAGTTGATAAACTGGCAGGTCTCACCGTAACGGATTAAGATTCTCACAAATACTAGGACAAATCACTATCATACAGCTATTTGAGAATGCACCAAGAAGGACACAACACCATTTATTTGTGATGCTCCTGCCAAAAGTGCATAACATAATCTAATCAAGGAGAAATACCAGTCAAAGCCAAAATGAGGGACATTCCACAAAATAAACGCTATGTATTCTTCAACATCAACAACATGAAAGACAACAGACTGAAGAATGGTTTCAGATCAAAGGTATAATCAAGGCATGTGACAATTAAATGCAACATCTGATCCTGCACAGGACCCTAAACCTGAAAAAAGTACACTAATGGGACAAGTGGCAAAATTTTAAAGAGGTCTGAAGATAATTCTATTCTTAATTCTAACAATTATACTGATTATTTAAGAAGTTATGTCTGATTTTATGAAATACACACAGGTAATTGAACGTAAGATAAAGTCATGTGCAACCTATTATCAAATGTCTCTGTGAAACAATATGGAGAAGATATGAATGATATCGGGAAGAAAATGAAAATTAAGGCATACAGGAATTTCTTATCCTTTTTTTTTTTTTAAGATTTATTCATTCAAAAAAAAAAAAGATTTATTCATTCATAAAAGGCACAGAGAGAGAGAGGCAGAGACAAAGGCAGCAGGAGAAGCATGCTCCTTGCAGGGAGCCCGATGTGGGACTCAAACCCGGATCCTGGGATCACACCCTGAGCCCAAGACAGACGCTCAACAGCTGGCATCCCTTATACTTTCTTTAAGACTTTTCTCAAGAGTGAAACTATTTCAAAATAAAAAGTTTTAGAAAAGATACCACTTTTCACCAACCAGATATGCAAAAATTTTTGAAAGATACTAATCTCCAATGCTGGCAGAGGATGCTGAAAACCAAGGCTCTGAAATCTGACTGGAAGAAAGAAAACCAATATAACCTTTTTGCAAGGTAATTTGGCAATCTGCATGATCTTTGACCCAGACATCCCATTTATAAAATTCTAACCTATTAAAAAACAAAACATTTACCTAAATGTATTTATATAGTTATACGGGATCCCTGAGTGGCTCAGAGGTTTAGTGCCTGCCTTCAGCCCAGGGCATGATCCTGGAGTCCCGGGATCGAGTCCCACATTGAGCTCCCTGCAGAGAGCCTGCTTCTCCCTCTGCCTGTGTCTCTGCCTCTCTCTCTCTCGCTCTCTGTGTGTCTCCCATGAATAAATAAATAAAATCTTAAAAAAAAAAAAACCTTTTAAAAATAAATACATAAATACATAAATAAATGTATTTATAGATATGAATGCCATTGTGTGCAAATGTACAAAAAAAATGTTTAGAAGGATAGGTACTGAACAATTAAAAGTGGTTACCCCTGTGGAGAGGGGAGAAGCATTATGAGTGGAAGGTAAAACATGACTTGCTTTTCTCTCTACCAACTTTTATACGTTATGATTTTCTTTTTATAATGACCCTACATGACTTTTTCATTTCAAAAATGATACGAAAACAACACGGAAAAAGACCAAGTAACCAAGAGAGACTCGAAATTAGATAAAGGGGAATCAAGTGATAGCAAAAGTTCAGCCCGGCAGGAAAGCACATGCAGAGGCAAGACTCTGGGCTGCTGGGATAATCTACTTGAGAAAAGACCGGTGAGGTCTCTAGTAAAGACAGATATGTTAAAAAACAATGGTGGGAATAAAAGATTTTAGAGCTGCACTGTCCAGTAAAGTTGCCACTTGGTAGCACAGGATGTGGCTAGTTCAAAATGATGTGTTATTAGAGCAAGATTCGCAAGAGATTCCAAAAGACTAGGTATGAAACAAAAGAATATAAACTGTCTCATTAATATATTTATACTGATTATGTACTAAAGTGATACTTTTTGGAAATAATGGCTTAAGTAAAATATATTATTAAAATTATAGTTTCTCCTGTCTCCTTTTACTTATTTAATGTGTCTACCAGCAAATGTAAGATTACATATGTGGCTTGCAATATACTTCTACTCGACAGCGCTATTCTAGAGACTTTCGATAAAACATTCAACTTTTTCCACTACGTTGGATTCTATTAAAGATACCATTTACTTCTGACACATCACTAAAATTACAAGTTTGGTTCTTATGAATGATAACCATTCTCTATTTATTAGATATAAGCTTTGCTTTCTCAACTACATATACGGATGTTCACTAAATATCCTATATGTGTGAAGAGCTAACTTTTCCACAGATCAGACTACCCACAAATTTGAAGTCATTATTTTACAATGTAGGATAAGTATTTAAAAAGACAAAAGAAAGAAAGAAAGAAAAAAAAAAAAAGAAAAGAAAAAAATCCACTGCATCCCAAAGAACAAATTTTTCTTTTGTAAAAATCAGGAAAAGTCACACAAAAAAAGTATACATTAATGTTCATAGAAGTATTCATAATAGCCAAGAAATGAAAACACAAATGTCTATTACTGATGGATAAATAAAACATGGTACAACCATACGATGAAAAATTATTCAGCAACAGAAAGGAAGTATTGATACATGCTTCAACACTGATGAATCCTGGAAAATATTATCCTAAGGAAAAGAACTCAAAGACGACCACATTTTGTATGAAGCCATTTATATGACATGACCATAATAGACCAGTCTACGCAGACTGAAAGCAGATTAGCAGCCGTCAGAGGGTGAGGGATTAGGATGTGGGAATGGAAAGTTACTGCTAATGGGCATAGGGTGGAGATGATCAAAGTGTTCTAAAACGGACTGCAGTGATGATGACACAACTCTATACCAAAAGCTTTAAATTGTAACCTTAAAATGAGTGAATTGTACGACATGTGAATCATATCTAAATAAAGTTGTTATTAAAAAGAAAAGTAAAAAATTAACCAACACAAAAAAATGAATACAAAAAAATGTTTTCATATCATTCTTACTGAGAACACTCTGAGGTCTTTCCTTTATTCTGATAGTCCATTATACACTGAATAAGATGGTTATTTTCATCCAACATCTGAAATAAAATTAGAAAAAGTTTATTATAAATGTAGTGCATCACATAAATTTTTTTAAAATCCTTCAGATTTCTAGAAATGTTTATTCATACAGGAACTGAATCTATTCAGTTCTTTTAAGTCTTATTCTACACCCCTGGAATGATATGTTTAATCAGTAATTTTCAAAGAACTGTATTCCAATTATTCTCCCCTTAAATTATTACCTGAAGCCCCAAACGAGTTTCTTTTGTATTCAAACATTTTATTACTTCTGCTACTTGTAGTAAAAGATTTAGCCTGTTAAGACTAAAAGGTAAGGGTCAAAGCTAACTTTGCGTCATTCTTATGCTTTGCAGGAGTAAAGAAAATTTTGTCCTTATCCACAATGAATACATGAAAATATAAGCCCATAAATCTTGAGGAGATAGCTGGCTAGTTTCCAAGTGTTATACAGTATGGTTCTGTGGTTCATATTCCAAATATGGAATAATCAAATACTATAATTTCTATGAATATGTATTTGTTACAGACTTTACAAGCTTTCCTTTCCTTATAAATTAAGTTGTCCCAAGAGTTTAAAAACAAAAAGCATATCAACTTATCATTCTATTGTCTTATAACAATTCAAAGCAGTATTGGCTTAAAGGATTAAATAATTCATCTAAGTAAGGGGGCACTGAGGAAAGTACTGACATAGTAATGAAAAGACCAGTTAGTTTTAGTGCCAGCTTCACAATCCTATGCAAATCACTTACGATTTCAAAGACTCAGATTTATCTTAAGGTCAAGTGACAGGAGTAGATGTTCCTCCTGAACTTGTCCTACATTTCCAAGACTCGATAAACATAAAGTATAATACAATAATCACTCTACTTCAATAACTTAATGTAGCTCTTTTAATCAAAAACAAAAATCCACTGAATCTTGTGACTTTCTTCCCACATAAGAATCACAATATTCACTTGCTAGAAAAAAAAATATATACTGACATGCTCTTCCAAAAAGTGCAGTTATTTCCTAAACAGAATCATCGGATGCCAAAAAAGAAAAAAAAAAGTCTTTAAAATCCATTAGTCCAATCTGATGATTTCACAACATAATCGCTTCAGTTGAACACTCAACCTAACAAACTTCACTGGAGAATATGTCTCATTTCTAACATCAATTCTCTCACACTGTAAAGTAAGGCACTTAATTTAGAATCCGTTTTCTCTTCTCATTCCAGAATGAAAACTAACTGATCTGCATCTCCTGAGTAATCATTGGTAGTAAATATCTTAACATGTATGCAAGAAAAACTCTTTGAAAACCAACCAACCAGCCTTAGGACTGTTCTACGGTCCAAAAATAAAAATAATTTTAAAAAAAATGAATCCCTCCAGAAACATGTCCTTCGTGTATGTACTTGGAGCTGTTTGCCAGGCGGCAGACTTAGCCCAACGCACTCTATGAAACTACTGCCACTTCCAGGCACTGACAGGCCGGCTTGTTCAAAAAAATAAATAAATAAATAAATAAATAAATAAAGCAACAGTTGGGCGAATGTCAAATGCCACGCGAGAAAGAAGCTGACAGTCAACAGAAGCCCGCTAACATAATCTGCCGGCATACAACGGTGCCTGGGGGGTACGAAAACGTGGACTTTTCTTCAGTTTTCATCTCCATCCCCACGGAGACAACAGAACCGCAATACTCAAGGTAAACTGCCGAATTCTCCAAGTAACTTTTCAAAGTCTGGCTGACTGAAATTCAGATTACTGCCTCGCTCCTGGGCAACAAGGGGCAGCGGACAATGAAGCAGCTTTGTCTGTGTCCCTAACTGGCAGTTAGCGGCGCCGCGACCGAGGCAGCACTACCCTCTACGAGGGACGCACGCCCCGTGCAGGGGTCACGACTGCCGCGGGGTCTCCGGGGCTAGACGCCGAGCTGCGGGGGGCAGGGACCACGGCTCACCGCTGTAGCCTCAGCAGCCAGCGCAGGCGCTCGGTGAGGACTTGCCGCAGACGGACAAGGCTAGCGGGTGAATCCGGAAGGGACAAGGAAGTCGGAGGGGACCCCCCGAGTCCACAGGGGCCTCCTTCGCCCGCCCCTCAGGCGCCTGCGGCGTCCCCCCAAGTTCTCCCGGGAGCTCCCCAAGTCGGCGGGAGCGCGCGGCGCGGCGCGGCGCGGCGCGGCGGAGGGCGGCGACCCACGCTGCGACTTCCCCTCGGCCTCCCGCGACGCGAGGTCGGGGGTGCAGCAGGCGGCCGCGGCGCGCGGGGCGGGGCGACGCCAAAGTAACTCTGGAGCGGCGCGCGGGGCCGCGGGGGGCGCCGGCTCCCACACACAGCCCTGCCCCGCGCGGCCGTCGGCGCCGCCGGGCGCACGCGCCCCGCCGCCCGAACGCCGCCCCATCCCTGGAGAAATGCGGCGGCGGCTACTTGGGCTTTTGTGCCCGCAGGAGAGAGCCCAAAGGCGCCAAGGGCTCCGTGGGGGGGCTGGCTCGCCGCCTTCCGCCGCCCACTCGGGCACGGCCCGCGGCTCGGGTTCCCGCACGCGACCGCCTCCCAGCAGGCCCGCCTCCGCCCCCCGCCCGGCCGACTCCCGCGCCGGCCCCCGGCGGCGCTCCCGAGGGCAGGATGGGCCTGGCATCCCCGACCCCGCGAGGCTTCACCTTCTGAATCGCGGCGGGAGTGATCTCCCCCTTGCCTCGCTGCCTCGGGGCTGCGAACGCCACGGACATGTTGCCGCCGTCACCACTACGGGCAAGTCCCGGGCGCTCCGGGGGAACGGCAAACTGGGGGAGAGACGCCGGCCTCTCGGGCCGAACCACCTCGGGAATGCGGGGAGGGGGGATGCTCCGGCGCCGACCGAGCAGCCGGCCGGCCTGGCCTCCAGCACTTACTCGGGCGCGTCGCAGTCGGGTGCCGGCGCGAGACCCGGAGCCGCAGCCCCCGCCGCGCCGCCCGGCTCTCGGCCGACCTCCCGTCCTCCGCCCTTTTCTGGGCCGCCCCCCCCGCGCCGTCTGAGCCAGTGGTAGGGCCGCGCCCCAGTCCTCCCTCCGCCTCAGCGATTCAGGAAATGGTCCCGCCGCCGCGGGAGAAGGAGAGGCTGGGGCAGACCCTGTCACAGGAAATGCGAGCCGCCCGAGCCGCCCGAGCCGGCCCGCCCCTTTCGCGCGGGTGCAACTTGCCTGCCTCTCCTGCGCGCTGGAGCCTCCCTCCGGCTGCGCTTCGGCGCTCGGCTCGAGACCCGCTTCAGTTTTGTCGACTTCATCCTCGCCACCCCCCCGCCCCCGGGAAGAAGGGCCCGCCCCGGGCTGTCCCGGCACCGGGTCAGGACCTGCGGGTTCGAGCCACCCGGCGCAGCATCTGCCGAGCGGAGCAGAGGTGGAAGGTGTAGGTGGACGCGGATTCGCTGGTTCAAACCGCTCGGCTACGCCCCGGAGGCGCACCTCCGAGTCCGCACTCGCACTCGCACTCGCACGCGCACGGGCGCGCCCGACAGTCGGGAAGTAAGCGTGGCCCGTGGCCCGTGGCCCGTGGCCCAAGCGGAGAAGGCAGGCTGCGCCCGGTCCCCGAGGCCGCCCCACGGCAGCCGCCTCTTGGGGCAAAGCCCCGGCACAGACGCGCGTCGAATTCGTCGGACGTGGAGCTTCGGGACTAAGTTTTGAGATCGAGCACCCTCACGTTTTTCCTTTTACAGTTATATACTTGACTGCTTTGTAAATTAGGCCCAAGCTGCCAGGGTTCAAATCAGTGTGAGGAAAAAAAAAAAAGATCCCAAAGCTCTCAAACTACGGCAGGAACACGGGTCAAATGTGGGTAAGGTACTGGCCCTGGGGAGGGCCGGGGGCTGGGGGTGTAATTATTGTGTAAATGTGGACTTCATGTAACAAAGGAAACGTTTATGTAAGACGCAGCCGTCGCCCAACAGTAATGAGGCTCAAAAACAATTCTTTCATTTACACATAAAACTGGGAAAAAAACTAAGAAAAAAATGCATACAGTTTTTGTTTCAAATATATGCTCTTCACGAGAGGCCCTAAGTTTCATTAAGCAAACGTTGGCAGTTTTGTGTGCTAGGCACCTGGGATATAGCGGTGATAAGGTGGACATGGAACCTGCTCTCATGGAGCTTATATTCTGACAAGGCTGACAGATTACAAACAAGTATGTAAATATGTAAACTTCTAAGGAAGACTAGATGGTAACGAGGAACAGAGAACGACAGGCACTCAACATGAGTTAGGGTGAGAAGCCTTCTCTGTTAAACTGACCTCTAAAGGATAAAAAAGACTCAAGCCATCCTAAGAATAAAGGGAAGAGAATTTATACTCCTACTAACTGTAGTTCTTAGAATTCTTGTCTTTCACTACCCTAAACCTTGCGGGGGGGGGGGGGGACTGTTATATTTGGATTTAAGGTAATCACTTCAAACTGGAAAAACAACTATTGAATTTAGAACAGAAACTTAAGTCTTGTCCACCATTAATATAGTATGTCCAACACCTGGCTGTGTCTTCACTGAGCATGATTTATGGCTGAATAGTATTTCACCATATGGATACTGCATTTAAAAAATCATCAATGAAAAAAACAATCATCAGTGGATGAATATTTGGGTTGTTTCTACTTTTCAGCTATTATGAATAATGCTTTGAACATTTATGTACATTATCATGTCTTGATGTTTACACAAAAGTACCTTGGGGTACCTGGCTGGCTCAGTGGGTGGAGCATGCAACTGGATCTCAGGTTTGTGAGTATGAGCCCCACATTGGGTGTAGAGATTACTTAAAAATAAAATCTTCAGGGGCACCTGGGTGGCTCAGTTGGCTAAGCATCTGCCTTTGGCTTAGATGATTCCAAGGTCCTGGGATGGACCCCCTCCTTGCTCAGCAGGGGAGTCTGCTTCTCCCTCTCCGTCTGCTTCTCCCTCTCTCTCTGCCTCAGCTCCTGTGCCCTCTCTCTCCCTTCTTCCCTCCCTCCCTCAAAAAAATAAATCTTTAAAAATTAAAAAAATGCCTTAATTGTCAAGAGCAATATTTCAGTAGGAAAAATGAAACATAATCCTACTGTTCCAGTTGTGTCTACTTGGAAGATAGCACGTAAATCTTAACAACATGAACCAATGGGAATACTTGCCTGAATTTCTATATTCCAGTTAAAAAAAAGAAAAAATGCCAAGGAGAATCTTATTCCAGGAGTTACCCAAAGATAAGTACCTTCTTTGTCTAAATCACAGCTCCCCAACAGCAGGAGAAGAAATCAACTGAAAATAGGTAACAGGTCAGCCCAAGGTGTTTATCCCTTCAGAGAAGCAGGTTAGGACCCAGGGTAATAGGCATGAATAACCACAGCCTTTTCTGTGATGGCATGTGTGCCATAAAAATTATTTTCTGTGTCCCTCACAGGACATCAATAGGGGGGCACTGGAGTAAAGATCCAGCCAGGAATAAAAATGATCTCCATAAAAGAAGACACCTTAAAGGGACCCTATGTTACTCTCAAGCTTCCTTCCTGTTTCATTTGACCATTAGTTTTGGGGAGAGAGGAATTCCAAAGTATAGACTGAGTGGAAGCAGATATAGGAGAAAAAGATTAAAGAGTACTCAGCATTTAGTTTGGGAGAAAACAGGGAATGAAGATGGGAAGTTGACCCAAGTCTCAGAAATGACTGTAGGAACTTAAAAATGAGCTACCCAGACAACTATTTCCCCAACCAAAAAAATCAATCCCATTATTTAGTCTTGGACTGAGACATCTGAAGAAGGAATTGAGGTCATATAACAAGGTGAAAGGTTTTTTAGAATAATCCTAATAGAAGAGCATACACGGTGGTTTAGAATTAGTAAAATAATCTGCATGAACAATTCTCAGTTATTTACACTAATGAATGTAGACACATGCAAGAAAAGTAAGGAAATTTTCCACATTTGGTTTTTCAAATGTTTCCATTTTTTAATTTGTATTACATGAATTTGTTTGTATTCCTTAAATGTATTTCACCAAATGGATAAGATGCTCCAGGAATATGCTCAATATTTTATAAAACTATAATCATGGCATTAAATATTATCTTAATCCACAAAAAATATACATGTATAGATAACTGAGATTACTTTTATATGCATTTTTAATACTTATTGTTTTATAATTAATAGAGTATCCATACTATTGAATTTGCATTTGAAGCCCCTGTGCTGCCATAAATTCCTTGAATACCTGGGGAGGCATAGACAAGCCTGTCTGCTCATAATTGGGCTCAGAGCAAAACCCCTCAGGTAGTATCTTTCAAAATATTTCTACTCACTGTCGCCATGGCATTTAGTGAGTCATTTTGAGTTGTGGCTTCCACAGACTTCAAAACTATAAGGAGAACAGCAACTATCTATAATCATTATTCTAGGCAAAAACAAATCACCTTTCCCAATTCTCCCCCAGAAGACTATATTTTCAATACTCCAGAACACTTCATTCAAAGTAGACTATAACAAAGTCTATCTGGCGCATTTCTATCTCTTTTTACAGTATCAAACATTGAATGAATTAAGGAGGGGCTGAATCAAATATATTTGGGGGTATAATGTTATAAGAAAGTATTGCTTTTTTTAAAAAAAGTTTCTATGTGAAGCTATATTCAATCATAACTTACTATGACAAATGCACAGGTTTAGAATTCTCAGTTCTTCCACCTTATGGCATGATACTGCTGCCGCCTGTGGAGGATGGAGCAAGCAAGCAGATTCTCCCCTAGAGCCTCCAAAAGGAACATAGCCGGCTAACACTTTAATTATAGCCCAGAGGGGTTCATCTTAGACATCTGACCTCTAAAACTTGATGATAATAAATTTGTTGTTTTAAATCATTAAATTGGTCATGATTTGTTAGAACAGCAATAGAAAACTAATACAATGTTTTTTTCCTATCTAGTATTATTTATGGTTGAATTGGGCAATGTGCACTAAAATACTGGTCAATATTCTATGGAATACCTATTCCGTATGTTACAAACTATTGTTCTTATATTAAAGTAACCTAGCAATCATATTTGTTATATATTTTCTTTAAAAGAAAAATAATAGCATAATATTATGGTAATAATATCCTGCAAACATCATGATTTCAGCCTTCTGGCCACCAGAATTGTGAGAGAATAAATTTCTATTATTTTAAACCACCATGTCTGTGATGATTACTGCAGCCCTACGAAACTAATACAGATGGCCAAGATACTTCAATGGAGAAAGAATTGTTTTGGAACAGCTTGATACCCATGTTTTTAAAAATTATCTTTGACCTTTTCCCCACATGTACACAAGTGTTAAATTGAAATAGATTGTAGACCTAAATTTTAAAAGCAAAACTACAAAACTTCTACAGAAAAACAAATAGAAAATGTTTATGACCCTGTGTGAAGCATTTATTTCTTAGATATGACATAAAAGGCAAGAAGCATGAAAGAAAAATTTGATAAATTTTTATTAAAATTAAAAATTCTGCTCTTGAAAGATATGAGAAAACGAAAAGGGAAGCTATCATCTGGGATAAAATATATGAATTTATGAAACATTAAAAGAAAGAATTTGTCTCTAGAAAATATAAAGAACACTTACAACTCAATAAGACAAACAACTCTATTAACAAAATGAACAGAAGACTTAGAGGCATTTTAGAATGATCATATACAAGTGGCCAATAAACACAATAAGTTGCTCTCCATCATTAATCATCGTGGAAATGCAAATTAAAGCCACACTGAGAAACCACTACCACATACCCACTAAAACAGCCAGAATCTAAAAAGAGTGACATCATCACATTTTGGAAAGTATGTGGAACAACTAGGAACATTCATATATTGCTAGTGGGAGTACAAATGATACAACTCTGAAAAACAACTAGTAATTATTATAAAGTTAAACATGCACCTATTATATGATCCAGTAGTTGTGCCCTTGAGTATTTATTCCTTACCCAAAGGAAATTAATATGTATTGCCCACACAAAGACTCATACATGAGTATTCATAGCACATTTGATAAAAATAGTGTTAAGTTAGGTGTACCTGGGTTACCTCAGTTAGTTGAGCATCCAATTCTTGATTTCAGCTCAGGTCATGCTCTCAGGGTCCTGGGATCCAGCCCCAAGTTGGGCTCTGCACTCAGCACAGAGTCTGCTTGAGATTCTCTCCATTTCCACCCCGACCTCGTCTCTCCCCATTACTTGAATTCTCTCTAAGTAAATAAATAAAATCTTTGAAAAAGTAGTGTTATATTAGAAACCCAAATATTCCACACAGTTGAATCAATAAATTATTATACATTTATATAGTAGAATACTACTCAAGAATAAAAAGTAATAAACTATTAATATATGCAACAAAATGAATGAATCTCAAAAACATCAGGTTGCATAGAAAAGTCACAACAGTCACATACTGTTGGTTTCATCTACATAAAAATCTGAATAAGGCAAAATCAATTTATAGTGACAAAGTAGGTCAATAGTTGATGAGGGATGAGGATGGGGATAGGATAACTACAAAGGAGCACAAAGGAATGTTTGGGGATGACGAAAATATTCTATATTTTTATCATGGTCATAATTACATAAGTGTATACATTGGTAAAAATGTATCCTACTATACAAAATTTAAATATTAAAGTACTTTCTAAGGAAAAAAGTGCTGTCACTCTTGTTAATATTGCAGTGAATATCTAGATCAATTTAAGTTTGCCAACTAATGAATATGATATATACCTCCCCTGACTTAGAGGTTCTTTAGGTTCTTTCAATAATATGTTAGGTTTTTCTGTGTAGAGGTCTGTATGTATTTCCTAGAAATATAGTATATACATGGTATCTTTTTTTTATTTCATTTCCTAATTATCTGGTTTTGGTTTATAGAAATACAATTGATTTCTTCCTAAAGTCATTTACTAATACTAGCAATTTATATATAATTTATTTTGGACTCTTATGCACACAGTTAGGTTATCTAAAAATAATATGATTTTCATTTTTTCCTTTCTAGTACTCAGTTTTTTTTCTTGCTATATACTGCTTAAAAGAAAAGATAAATAGAAATGACAGAGCAGGTACTCTCAGGTATATTGCTGAGATACATTCTCAAATGTAAAGAAGTTCCAATATTTAACCATCAAGTATGTTTTCTGGAGGTTTCCTGTAGAGTCCCTTAGCAGATTAAGGAAATTCCTTCCAATCCTTAGATTATGAGTCAATAAGATTGTACAAGACAATGGATTTTATTAAATGCTTTTCTGCATTTATTGAGATAGGGTTTTCTTCCCTCTATTTTATAATTCAGCAAACTTTTTCTATAAAGGACCAGAGAGTAAGTAT